CGATTTTGGTCCACTTTTTAGCAGGAAGTCTATATATGATTTTTATTCCAAATCGAAAGAAAGTATTATTTTCCTGAATATCAATTTCAAAACTAAATTGGCATTTGAAACCGTTTTTCTTTAAATATCCATTTTGTCGTTGGATGTTTACCCTTTGAATTGCTTGTATTAATAACTTCACGCGATCACGAACGTAGGTAGGATGTTAGGGTTAGAATAGATGGATAGGCAACTTACCCTGCTGGTAACAAGAAGCTCTCTCTAAAGATGGTTTGATTGCAAAGTATCGGCACCGAATTGAATGCGCCAAGTGCAAGTTGCCATATAGATGAGGACGTAAGTTCCTGAGCCTAAATATCAAATATCCACCCTTTGAAAAACAATTATAAAAATTTCTTGAAAGCTTACATAAGAATAGGAATGTATGAAGAATTGTGGAGTAAGCCGTGACTCGCTTATAGCTTTTGCCGCATTTGCTGAGATTCCTAGCTGTTCCAAGACTTCAGTCAGATTGAAGGAAGGATCAAAGTACTTTAAAGTATATTATCAACATTTACATCCATTGTAATACCAAAATTACTAAATGCTCACCTCCCGCACCTTTGGAACCTCTATTTGCGAGGTATTTAAACGAGCAATTACATCAATTAATTTAGTGAGACCATTGAGTAAGCGAGTAAATTCTTTTGGATTTTGACCAATCCATCCCAACTCCAATGACGAGTAGTAAAGTAAATCTACGATTCTAAATAATAGGTATGACGATTTTTAGAACTATATAATTAACAGATTAAATAACCAACAAGGATTCATTCTTGTTAGTTCCATTGTGAATAAACTGTTTTTCGTCTCCGGTTGTCGGGGATAGATGACAAGTATTCGAGAATGAACAAAAGAACGAGTGTAGAAAAGGTAATAAGCCAGCTGAGGGGAATCCTTTGGAGTCGTAATGACCTAGAAAAAACTTTTTTCAAAAAGAGGGAAACTAATTGCCGAATGTAAAGAAACAATGTGAAAGCTACTCGTTGAGTTGCTGAATAAACAAATTTTAACGTAATTTCCTAATGTGACTGCTCAGTAATCAATTAATTGTGAGAGAATTCAGGTTTAACGTACGAGTAACCCTTTTTTACTTTTAAAACTAGTTTGAATACCGGTTAACCCCAAAATGAAAGAACGTTCTAATAGATTTTTGATAAAAAGCCCCTTAGACGTAAAGTATCCAATACAAAAAAACAACAACCCTACAATTTGTCAAACCGGTCTATTGCATGTTTGCAAGCACTCTTTTTAATCTTTTAAAAAACTTACATTGCGTCTCATAATCGGTGAAGTCCCTTGTTCGCACAAGTGCCAAAATCGCGAAGAGAATCAATGGAACGAGTAGTTCTACGGCTAACCAAAACTGAAATGAACAGGTGATAATTACATTTGAAGATTTTGTGCATAATTTTCCAACAAATCTTTCCTTTACAATTTAATAAAT